CCATACAACCCGCGTGACATTAAATTCCCAAAGAGTAGGGAACTTGTCATGCAGGAATCTACTTCGCACCAAAGTTATGAAGAGCAAAACAGGGAAAAGGTACAAAGGGCATATAACAGTGAAAAATTCCTCTTTATACAAAGTCAGTGCGCAAACGGTCGCAAATTACATACGGCTCGAACCAACAGTAAAAAAAACGAGAAAAGAAGGAAGAAACAACGACAAAAAACACTGAATAAAAAAAAGAGGCAGAAAACAGACAAAGACAGAATTCTTTCACTCGGCGTCGTCACCGCCACCATCACCACCATCTCCAGGAAGTTCTCCCTCATCATCCGCGCCCTCATCGGCCTCCGGCGTCTTTGAGTCATATCAACAGTTGACACGAGCCTCTCGTGCCTTTGCCCGAGCTCCTTCATATGCGGCCTCGGTAACACTGCCCGCCTCCCATAAATTCTTATATATGTCCCGCTGGGCTTCAGCATGTACCCAAAGGTCATGCAAATGATGGGGAACAGCGGCAGAGGAAGATTCGACTTGAGCCAACAGTTGCACATTTTCGGCCTCAAGGGCAGCGACCCGATCTCCTAACGACGACGCCTCCCGGTCGATCTCGCCAATACGCTCCTCGGGCCTCGCTTCCTTAGCGTGGCCGTCGCCCTCTCCGACTCCTGCTCTGATCGGAGGACGCGGATGGTATTTTCCAGAGCCGTCGCCCTCGCCAACGCCGACGACCAAGCGGTCTCGATGTTCTCCAACCCGACAACCTTTCTCTCTAACTCGGCAAATTTACCCATCCACTCCGTGCTCATCGCCTCGACCCTGATAAGATTCTAATCCATCTCAGACTGCATCGACCTCAGCTTCCCCTAAAGATACTCGCATTCTGCAGCAACCCCTTTGCCCAACTCAAGCTCTTCGTCCTTTGCGCGAAGTTGCGCCTAGAGTACACTCTTACTGCGAATAGCTTGCATTAACTCCTGATCCCTCTTCTCCTTTAGCCGTTCGTGCATCTCACGGCACTTGTTGCGATAGCGCCGGTACTTCTCCAACATCTTCAAGAAAATCTTGGCCCGAATGTCGGCCCTACAAGCACTCTCTATTTCCACCATGTACGTCTGAAAAATGAAAAGATGGGTTAAAACCATATCACCAAAAAAAGACAAGAGAAACACGAGAGAAAAGTATAACGTACTCTCAAGCCCATAACGCCCACTTCATGCATCAAATTAATATCGGGAACGTCCCGAAGAGCCGCATTCTCAGCAGCAGAACACAAGATGTCAAACTGCAGCACCAAGTCCTCCGTATCCCCTAGGAGATTGATATCCGACGAAATCTCAAGAATACGGGATGGACCTCTCGCATGAACCACCGAACGGGTAAGACCCTCTTCAAACATCCTAACATCGTCAGGATCAAGATCAGACTCAAATTCATAGTCGTCAACCACGACACACTTCCCCCTTTCCGCGACCGATGAGGAAGCACGACGCGATACCAAAGACGAAGGCCCGCCCAAAGCGGCAACAGTGGTCTCAGGAGTCTAACCCCCCGTCGCGGCTGGTTGCTGGTCAATCATAGCGGCTGGAATCTCCGCCGATGGGACATGCACAACGGCTGGCTCTATCTGCACGAGTGGAATGGCACCAACTCCCGTCTCAGACCCCGTTAAGGGAAGATCTTCCTCCAGATTTATCACAACTGCAGGAGCCACTTCAGTCTCCACTCGCCGCCTCTTGGACGGCCCCTCCCCTTCTGCGGCACGAGAGGATCCCTCCGCTAGGCGAATGACAGGGGTCGGAGTTCTAGCTCGAGGGGTAGCCGCCGTGCGTACAACCGCGATCGTAGATTCAACCGAGGCAGCCCTCGACGAAGGTCAGGCAGTAGATGCTGAAGTAGGGCGAGCAGACGATGAAGGCTGACGAAAGGCTAATGGGGGAGCCCTCGCTCTCCGCACTCTCCCTAACATCGACGAACATCATATAAGAAATAAAAAAATAAAAAAAAAAAGAAAGAAAGAGGAAGGGGAAGAGCAAAGAAAGAAAATGGTATTACTCACCAATAAAGGGCTTACGTCCATATTTCTCATAGAAGGATGACCATGTGCGGACCCCCACCGTATGAGGAAGGATGGCGTTCACCCACTCGCGGATACCATCAACGGGTGTAGGAGGCAGTTTCGCAGTTGTACAAAAAAACACAAAAAAAAACATAAACAGTTTTAGCATTACTCAAAGGAAAAGCACTCGGATATCACTCCGACCCAAAGTGTAGGGACTTACGTGCAAAATTCCATTTCTCAGGGAGTCCCGTGGGATCCGCCACGAGATGCTCGGCCCACACATAAAAGTAGTTCTCGTAGAAGCGGCGGTTGGCTCTGTCGTCCATCTTTACCACCAAACTCTTCGACCCTCGGTGGCGCATGTGAATCATCGTGCCACGAATGAGTTGAGGGGAGAAGATATTGAGCATGTGCCCCAAAGTGATCTCATGACCGGCAAGCTCCGCAAATTTGAGCAGCATGAGGAACAATTTGTACAGGTACGACGTAAGTTGAGCCGGGCATACCTCGTAAAAGCGGCAGAAATCTACCACCAAGAGAGGGAGAAAGAGCGTGTACCCAACAATAAAGGGGTAGGCGTAGAATGCACAATACCCTGGGCGGTCAAAATGGACTATCTCGTCCCCCAGCGCCGGCAGTATTTCAACATAGGGAGGAATTCCCCACTTAGCCCTCAAGTCTGCAATCCCCTCCTCATTTATGACGGAGGGAACAGGTTCCGGTTCTTCTCCGGCGGGACTTTGGAAATCGGTCCACGCTTTCCTAGGGCGAGGTAAGAATCTCAGCCACCGACGGAACCTCCTCATCTTCCGCCACTTCTATTCCTCCAATGGCCAGAACATCATCTTCCGGCGCCGAAATTGTGGCGAGAAGGTCAGCACAAGAAGAATCGCCAGCCATTTGTATCGGTTTGATGAAGAGAAGTGGCAAGGAAAAGAAAAGATGAAAGTTCTTGGCTAAGCGAAGAAAATAAAAAAACCGAAGTATCAAGAGAAAGGAGAATTCGCAAAGTTCCTTCGAGTAAAGGTAAGGAAGTGTGTCGCTTGAATGATGCACTCATCCTACTTATAAGAGACATAAATTCCCCAAGCTCGAAACCCAAGATATCGAAAGGGTGCTAATATGCTACTTGATTATGAAAAATCATACCCAAGGGGCAGACAGTCAGATTTCTCCTAGACAAGCGAAAATCATCATCCGCCTACCGGGCCCGACAAGGGACGATCCCGACAGACGGAGGGACTAACTGTATTGGTCAAAATCTGACCGTTGTGGTCGACCCAATTGGGACCACGTCCAAACAATGGGATAAGGAAAGACGACATTATTTACGCCAAATCACGTATTCACCGAACGACGAAAACGGACGCGGAGTGAGGGGGCTATGGCCCAAATACATGGCAATGACTCCATGACTATATATAGGGGTGAACCTTCGTAGAAAAGGGGCTTTTTTTCTCTTTCTCCTCGGTAATCTCCTTAGTGAACAGAAAGGAAATCAATTTCTAATCTTCCATTGAATATGTACAACTGTCATTTTCACCGATTGGGGAAAGAAGAAATGAAAGGCTTCGATAATTTATCGCTTCTACTTCATTTCGTGTACCATTTTTCGGTTTGTTTGGAGATCTGAAATTTACTATGTTTGACTAAGATTTACCTCTTCAATTTTCTTAATTGATTTCATCAAAAAGGTTTCAATATCTTTTGGTCAAAAAGTAAAGACAGCCATCAGCATATATAGCATGTTAAAGAATAATTTTGACAGCAGAAGAAATTTCTCTTTTATCTCTCATAGGAAAATTTAAACAAGTACTATAAATTACTTTTTGCAAAAGGTGTTCAAATCATTTATTGATAAGGATAAATTTATAATAAGCATCTTCTTGGTTTTTGCACTTGAAAGATTAGATATAGTCTCTTGGGGTCGTTTGGTTTTAAGATAAGTAATGATGGATTTAGTTATGTTGATATTAAAAAATGTTCATGCCTAGTAATTACATACGTTTGTTGACGTAGAAAGTACTGGCTAACACAGAAAACTAATGTTTATCAGTATATTCTAGCCTAGTTTCTCGAATTAATTTTCTAACTTAGTTAAGGCACACAAAATACCAAAGCTTTTTGGGAGATGTCCGAAGCAGCTTTGGAGATTTTTTATAAGTCGGGTCTAGTAGTCAGTTTTCAGCAAGTATTCAAATCTCTGTGTTTATATCCCACCAAAACCATGTTGGCTTTGATTTAACAATTATCTCGTTAATACAATCAAGCTTTCCATACAGTACTTTTGTGCACACTCTGGTCTTGTCGTTGGCTTTCTAGTTGACGACACTGACAATCTAGTTTAGCAAACTAGAAGTGCTTTCGATGGGTGGAAAAAGGCGTCCCCTAACAGAACATATGCCTCATGTTGCTTCTAGGAATAATCTGGCTAGATCAGATTGCTTCTATAGATTGCTTCTATAGTATACCTCTCAGCATTACTTTTCAAAGAGACAGCAGTACTATTACCTTGATAGGTAAACAAGAGACAACTTCTTTATCTACACATGAAAACAAAGAGGCAAGGAGCTACAAAAGCTATTGCAAAAAGTGAGATTCTTGTTATATAGCTCAGCTGAATTTGGTAGATTTATATTAGAAATATCCAGTATGCTTGCTCGAGTACCTATCTCCTAAGAGATGAAGATAAAAGAAGGGGAGAGCGGAGATGGTCTTGGAAGGTCGAACTTGTTATGATCTACCACTCATTTCATGATAACTCTCACAATTACCTAGTGCACACAGTACTTCTCTAACTAAAGTTGCTCGAAGGCTACAGTCTTAACAGTATGTTAGATTTACAATAAGATAAACTAACGTATCTCTAGCTTCCTCTATTGAGACTTTAAACCCCTAAAATGTACAAATAAGCATCCATACACACCAATAGTTCTGCAATAAAAAGAAACTGACTTTAAATTATAAGAACGTTAATAGATCAGTGCTTGTACTTACAGATAGATGTTTCCATCTTTACAAAAGGGAAGTGCTCATGGGATTCGCGAAGAGATGTCGTTTTAAAATAATCTTTGAACTCCTGAATTGTCTTCCAAGAAGGCCACTGAGAATAGCAGGTGGCCCAGCTATAGTTTCAAACATTTTACGCACAATGATATGGTTATCCAGAATCATCATCTCTAACAAAGTTCTGCAAATCTTTAAGACAAAAGGCAACATATTAGCATTTCTCAGAGGCATTCAAAGCATGTGCTGGCAACCTTTCTCTAAAGTCATCTAACTGGAATTCTAAGTTACAGAATTTCATGCAATATTACAGAATCTGGCACTTTGTGGTCACTAAGAAAGAAAATTTATACTTCCTCAGATAAGTAGCAATATATGATAGACATTACTCTAGTGCAAATCCCAGAACTACAGAAGTTCTTGGAAAGAAGTTGAACGTAAGAGGTGGTATTTATAAGCTCTCAGGTACTTAGCTTCACGATTAGATAAATGGGAGAAAAACTAGTCCAATTAAACTTAGATTTCAAATCTCTTTATAGCAACAAATACTTGGCAGCAAGAAGATGCAGTTAAGACTGATAAGTTTTGAACGAGAACAATAAATTACATTCATTTTTGGTAGGACTGGGCCGAGAAGGTCGTCAGGTATTATTTTATACCAGAAATGTAACCATGTAATTCAGTTCATATCCTTAGGAGATGGGTAGTCATGATAAATAGAAAATTCAGGTCACACTATGAAATCATCATGATTGTTCAGTCAATGGGAAACGTACACTGGGGCACTGATGAATAGTTTGTTCATGGAAAGTTTACAAATAGGATATATACCTGAGGATTCAGACCATGCATCTGGTCGATAACATTATCCTGCAACAAAAATTAAAAGAAGCATTTATAAGTTCATATCGGGAACAGGCTTCACAAAAAATAATGATTGCAGTAATCACTTTCTATCAATGCAAATTAACGTGCCAACATCACTTCTGTAATGCTCTACAGCTGCATGTCATAATCAACTGATATGCACCACATTTCATATAAGATACCGTAAATTTAAAAGTGCATACCTCTAGAATTCCTGGATTCTGCATTATGATACCCAGAGCACGAGACACAAGTTTTCTGTAGACAATGTTGTTGACAGTGCCATCACCATCAATCCAAAACAATATTGGCTTACAGAAATGAGATTTTGCAGTTTGGAAGTCCAGTGGATCATGGTCATTATTTGTGCTTTGCCTTTCAAGTAAAGGTTCAGAAGGTTGCTCTTGATCAGTGGGATTATGGAGTTCAGCGGCTTCATGTTTGCTTGGTGCTGCCCCTTTAGAAACTCCCGCAGGAATGACCAAAGAATCTTGTTGAGCAACAGACATAGTGGATAACACATACTTAGAACGATATAATGAATCAACCACATGAACAGAATCATAAGCATTGACCTGCATTGAAGGTACAATAGGTTATAGGAGCAAATTACAGAAAGTGGAAACCTCCCCCAATTAATGCTTTCATATCTCGTCTCTCTGTAGCATCACTGAAAAACCATTACCCGTGTACCAAGATGAAAGGAGCAGGGAAAAGGATCAATCGTAAATCAGATAATGACAAGATGCCTATCTTTGCCAACTTACACCCTTTTCTACTCCATAGGTGTGTATCAATCATGCGAGTTTGTCTGGCGGATAAGACAGTTACCACTTACCAGCACCAGGGCATTGACTTAGCTTACTTGGAACAAACATACTAATTCATTGTTTTCAGGCACAACCCCCAATAAACAGTTTGTGTAGTTTTACCATCTATCCGCTATCTAGAGGGGGACATTTTTCTGGACACTATTACCAATACAAAAGGGAAAAAACGTTACATGGTCCAAAGTGTTGCAGTATACAAATTCCTCTATCTAAACCAACCAGGCCTTGAACAAGGGAAACGAACCATATCACTATTCCCACCATAAGAAATACTCCATCCATCTCATAAAGATAGATCTAGTTTGATTGGGGTGGAGTTTAAGAGAGTAAAATGTTTGAATACATTTCCAAGTTGATAGAGAAGTGCTTAAATAATAGTTTGAACTTTGAAAGAGTGGAATAGATAATTGAAAATATGTCACATCAAGTTGAAATAATACAAACTAGTAGTAATAAACCTATACTAATATGAATTTTTGGAGGGAGTTAAATTTACCATTTGTCGAAACAGTTCTAGCTTTTCCGAACTGACCAAAAAGAAAGGAGGTCAATTTTAATGGAATGGAGAGAGTACTTCTCTGTCTACTTTCTTTTATACTTGTGTAATATCAAATTACCACCACTAGGAATAAAATTAAAATTAACAACTACAAAGCATAGTACCTTCAATACTTGTCCAAAAGCTTCAAGGACGTCGACAATAATGCCCAGCATCTTTTCCCCTGATAAAGGACAAAAACCCATCGCATCACTCTTGTGATATTTTAATCAAACAGAAAAGTATATGAAAAAAGAAGAGTTTCATACCCTGAACATCCACAGACATTGAGATTTCTTTCATGCTTAGACCCTGGTCACCAGCCTTTCCTTTTTAGAAGAAAAGGAGCAAAACTGTTCAGCACAGCTTGCCATGGCTTCCCAGAGCAACTCTTTGGAAGACACTGCTGTGTATCTGTAACTCTCATTCTCATGTGTTTCCTTTACATGATTTTGTCCTTCGAAGTGAGATGCGCTACTGCTAGCTTCAAGAACTGACATGAACTTGACTTTCTTCACCAATTTGTGTTAAGGGCTGATTGTCATCATCTTTAAAAAATTCTACAGCTTCTCTGCTGAAAAATGTTGCACGGCTCAAGGATAAAGTAATATCAGGAAAACCCTTTGCTCTGCGACCCTCACCTTCGCCAATCAACCATGGTCTCAATTTCTTACTCCTGTTTCCATCCCAAAACTCACAAATATTATGTTTACGTTTGAGAGTTCTGTCATCCTTAGCCTCTCCAACGCCTTCATCTGGAAGGCATGGTATAATTGACAGTTCTCCTGCAGACAACAGACCACATAAAGTTAAGACGTCACCACCTTGCAAGTCCGGCAGAAGATCAACCCCACCATTTATCATCTCTTTTTCTCTTTGATGCAGCCAGGTTGAAAATCTAGCTGCTTGTGCTCCAGTTTCTCTTTGAAGCGGAGATAAAAACATACTATTCAAGATGTTCGGAGGAAATACAACGGTGCCTTTGGCTGTAGTCCTGATCTGCGTAAAGGTGAAGGTGAGGGCATTTAGTATAATAAGGAGAGAATAATTGCAGATGCTTGCCATCGATTAAAAAAAAAATAATCTGCACTTTGCTACACATATCCTTCTATACCAGTTTCACTGAGTCATCTTACTATTAGGGAGTGGCTTATAGAAACAGGGTAACCAGGTTGGTCTCACCTGCAAACTACCATCCAAGAAAATGAGCTAATACACTAACGGGGCACTTGTATCGACAAAGCTATGCTTCTTAATACCTGGCCACAAATACTGGCCCCACAATACAACTCTCCTGTTGAGAAGCTCCATCAATCATAGACACAAGTAAACAACTAACAATATTACTTTTTCCCATTACTCCATGCAATACGCTTAGTTATTCCTTCTGTAAAAATCCTTTACTTTCCAGTTGAACAAACATGAAAATTTGCAGTAAAATAGGTTTGCTCAAAACAAGACACTAGCTAATGCAGCCAATGAATGTTTGAATTCTTCTCAAATATATAATGCTGATACTATACTCATTTTTTTTATAAACGAAAAGGCCAGTGGCACATGGTCCAAAACTCGGTGGATAATGGGTCCATCCCTCTACTCTTCACTTAAATGCCGAGCTTTTGTCTGATATTAATTTCTTGAATCTTTTATATGAAATGTTTCTCCTGCTTTGCACATAATGTGACACAATTTGACTGGAACAAATATCACAAACTTACTTTCACTTCAACATTGTATTGGTAGGAGTAAAGAAAAGTACTATTCTTTCTAAAGCTAGTTCGATAGTAGAACATCGCACCGTAGTTTCAAATTTGAATTTGAATGTCAATCTTGTTAAAGTTTTACAAATTGTAGATATTCTAGAAAAGCAATAAAATTTTAAGGTTTTTCTAATTACATGATTCTTGCATAAATTGGATGGAAGGGCTTCAAATCCAATATCATGAATTTCTGCATACAGTGATTGTATTTAAAGTTTAAACATACACCAATTGATGATAACATCCATCCAGGTTATATCAGTGCATACCAGTGTTCAGTAAGTGCAATGTGTATAATCAGATGAGCCAGAAAACATTTACCACTTTCTTCTCTTTGAGGAAGTTGAAAGCATCCAAAATATCATGCTTTGGGTAATGATTGTACGTTTCAACAATGGAGGCTGGCACCAGTCGAAATCTTGAGAAGGCCAGGACTGCCATCTTTAATAGTTCTGCAGCATTTGCAACTGCAACTGATTCAAATGCTTGCCTACTTACACTGTTGCTTTCACTTAAAGGATCACCACACCTCTTAGGAACCCAGTGAGAGCTTTTCTCCTGATAAGAAATTTGTTTCATCTGGTCAAATTCTCGGCCTTTTGTCCATGAGGGGGGGGGGAGGGGGGTAAGTAATTTAGGATAATGATGATCATGCAGCAGACATGCAGACACAGAGCGGGTGACAGGGAATAAAAAGAGAGTATTAACCGCGGGAAGCTAGTTTTCCAGATTGAAATTAGATATCACAATTCATATGCAAAAACTTGACCAACACTTCGCCATGCAGATGGACAGATCAAATAGAAAAAGGGTCCTGCACCCCAGATCTCTACTTATGCATCTGGAGTTCCTTCTTTTTTTCATTTCCTCAGAAATTGGTGAACTTCTTTCTGTTTTTACTGGTGAGGGACAACCAAGGTGATAGAGGACATTATGGCTCGGATATCAAACTTACTGAGTCAAACATCAAGCCTCTGATAAAAGACACTTGGCAGAGAACAAACGGAAGATGATAAACTTGAACAGACATAAAATGTCATGCACATCTATGACGTGCGGGAACATCAGGACTTACAGGTCTTTCAGCATTTAAACTGAGATCTGAATTATCATTGGCAGATTGAACTCCATTGCTACCATCCAACTTAGCAATCTTTTTGCATTCTAGCACCTTATCTAGAGCAACCTTTACGTTGTCGTTGTCAAAATCATCCCACCGCTCGTGTGCAACAGCCTTTCTAGAATGTTCACGGCCGTCAGAAACACCTTGATCCAAATCTTCTTCTTCTGAGGCATGATGCCAAACCATCTCTTTACAATCACCGCAATCTAAAGACCTGTTCTGGAGGTGCCGTGCATAACGCTCCGAGACTGCATTACAGAAATTCATTAAAGCACTTCTGAATTGCATACAGCAGTTCAAAGCAGTCATTCTCCTTTTGCAGGCATCAGGTGACGCTGGAAGGTTTTTGACTGAGGCCCATTTAAAACGAGAATATGGCCCAACGGCAGCTTTGTGTCTTACAAATTCAATCACCAATTGCCTGGACAGATTCATTATATATTAAGATCTAGAATAAACTGATTTATCAAGATATTATAGATTTGCTGAGCAAGCAGCAGCAAATCACCCGCTGCATGACGATCAGTACCAGACCGTGCAAATAGGATATTCCACAGAAATTTACTTCAGAACAAACCAAATATACAACAAGCTGAAAAGTGTTACAAAATACCTCTAAAAAATTTTTATCTGCAATTGAGAACATACAATGAACATGGGAATACCTGTCTGCATCTTCGCTCCAGGAGAAACTTGCTCTGCTTGTTGGCTTCAGACTTGAGATATCACTTCTCTTCATGAAAGAGTGATTGGCCTCAGTTTTTTCGCATTGCTCTAGCCCTTTGGTAACCTCCCTATGATCACCGACGCAATTTATTTGAGAATTACATCCAACATCCCCTAGAGAAACCAGGAAAGCATTTTGTTCATCAGGGAATTGGTCAACAGTATCGAATGTGCTCTTGTCACTTGGTCGTACGTCTGAAGTGCGTAACTTCACATGTCTTGCAGGATCTCCACCTGATGACCTCTTTCTTTTCTGTAAAGAATTATTCCATCCTTCTATGGGCTGAACCTCCATCCATTTGGCAGTTACAACTCCTTGGAATCTACAGAGACGCATTTGCTTCCTATTGTGAAAACAATGGAACACCTGTATATTGAGTCTTCTAAATCATTCATGATAGAAATGTGTCAAATATGTTAATGCAGGAGAAAATGAAATAATGCTTAAAACTTTGTTTCTATTATTTATTTATTTGATAACAGAGAAATTCCCGAGGGCCAATTTGCTCACAGTTCAAAACTCGGTAGAAAATGGGCTCGCTCCTCTTATTTCAACTCAGTTTTCTATATCCTCTCTCTATAAATTACTTCTTCTTGTACATGCATAATCCATTAAGAACAATTTCACATATTGCATACAATTTCAAGAAAGGAAGGACCATGCTTTAGTTCAATAAAACTAATATTTTAAGGGTGCAAGTTAACTGCTAGCAGTAGCACAATTGGCAGATTAGCTAGATGATCTTTAAGTTCATTGAACAATACCATTAAGAGATTTTAAGGCAGGGAAGAGCAAACTTCAAAAAAAATTGCAACGTCTTGCAAACCCCAAAAGCATAACTTGTGTGTAAAATTTTCATAATAACACTAAGTGACAATCTTTGTTTAATGATTTTGAGACACCTTCTTTGCCATTTTCTGGAAACTAAAACATATTTGGTCCGGCCACAAGCGAAGATCTTATAAACACATTAAGCTTAGAAAAGAAAAGAGAAAAAAGAAAGAAAGAAATATGGATGTAAAGTGTCTTCAAGCTTGAGGGAGAGGGCTATTGAGCAGATATAGCAAACTGAGCCCTATTGCTGCTTATGAGCCCTATATAGTATTTACAACATGAACATCCAAAGGATCAGCATTAACATCATGTCCATAGAGCAACATCTTCACCTAACAGCATAGAAGGACAAAATTGCAATTTGTGTTACACTATCAAACCTCTTGAATTGCAGATTCTGGGGAAGCATTTGAAGCAGCTTCTGGATTAGCACCAGCCAATAAGTACTCCAGAGTGTTCCAGTACTCATCAACAGCGTTCCTATTTGAAAGAACAAAATCATGTCTAACTTGATGGCAAGAATCTAGACCATGAAAATCAGATGATCGTGCAGTTGAAGAGAAAGGCTCCTCAAAGTAAGGTTTAAGCTCTAGCTCATGAGTAAGAATGATCTGTATCACATGAGTGGCGTCTACCGTATGTTCACCACAAACAAGGCGGATTAACTGCCAACAAAGATGAAACTACTTCATACTTGCCAAAACAAGAAAGAAAGAAAAAAAGAGTGATCACTTGATCATAAGTCAACTCCATAAACCATGTTGATATAGCTATTCATGGTATCAAAATCCTCAATTTCTACAAATTGCAAAACAAGCTCTTTGACTTATTTTTTATGCAAATTTTCCTGAAAAGAAGCTGGGTGTTTCTTAATATTTTCTTAAAACAATTTGGGATCCTTCTCCAAGGAAATAAAGTATCATGTTTAGTAGGTAGAAGGAAGACAATGGACCAAATCTTGGATTTTAATCATTTTCCATTAAATCAGAGTATCAGACTACGTACACACAAGTTCTTAAAAAAAGATTGGACCACAAGAAATTTATCAACCACCCATATATAATGTCTTATGCTAGTTGATCATATAAATTGGAAACCATTACGAAGTAAAACAATGATCTCTGGCTCCTCTAGTCCTCTTATACTCCATCTTAGTCACTTCATCCCTCAAAAGTAGTTTGTATCTCCAAGCATGGAAAAGTTTCCATCTAACCAAACTCTTTCTTTCATTTTTTGCTACCTAGATAGGGGGAGACAACAAATTTGTGGACCCTTTTGACACTGCTAAATCCAATTTATTCTAAAAGGTCATAGTTTTCTTACTTGTATACACTAAGATTTGAATAAAAAACATGCTCATCAACATAGGATCTTCCATCCCCTACAGAATGAGCCATATCAAAGTTGATACTTCTGAGCATAATACAAGAGGAAGACGGTTAAAGTGTCATCAGTACGATATTCAGTTTAGTATCATCACATCAAATTAGAACCTCTGACCTGTGACTTTGAGGCATTCTTGTTTCATTTTTTCCCAGAAATGAAGAATGCATTTGTCATGTCAACATGTCAATTCTCATAAGGTTTGGAAATTTTAAAGCTCCAAAATCAGAGCATCTAGTTGGAGTATGGTTTCTTAGATGCACATATTTATAAGGAATCACACAAGAGAGATGACCTTAAAGGGCAGCCCGGTTCACAAAGTATCCCGCATTCACAAGAGAGATGACCTTATTTCTTTAAATTTACTATCATTGAAGATGCTTCAGATCACTCTCTATACTCAACTGCACTGGGTTTATGAAAATATCAAGGCTCTTAGCAAGGGTAAACCTGGGAATGTTTTATCTGAATGAGCGCATCTTTAGTTTTTAGTAACAACACTGAGAGAGCTAACATTTTATAGGAAGGAGTAGTTTTCTTCTTTTGACACTTCTGAAAGCGTCTTTCTGAACAATTTGCTAGAATATGAAGATTAGCAACTTATTCGTGCTCAACTTTTTTCTAGATCTATTATAGTTCTAATATATTTTGCCTTGAGGAAAATCAATAAAATTTTGATCTTCTCATATTGAAAACTAACTTGTTACAGCTTAACTTTAGGTCTTCACTATTATCATCAAATAGCAATATCTAGCACGCTTATCACAAAATGCATCGAATGAATAAGCTGAAGTATAACTCACAGCAAACAAAATGAACATGTAGATGTAAGATATGCACGTCTGGCAATCGTATACCCAAATGAGAGGAAGATTAATCAGATTGATGGGAGGTAATTGACTATGCCAACACTTGGGGAAGCGCTAGATATGTTAAAGTAAGGGTTAGAACTTAAATATGAAGTATTCTCAAAAATGATTTTCAATTATACCTTAAAACGTTGTAATATGACAATCAGCAGTGATAGCTCCTGGATTGACTGGGTATCACTCAGACGCGCGTTGTCCTTCATGGGAATATTAGAAAGGTGTAAATAATCCCCACATTTCTCAAACATATTCTCATGCATTGGAGCAGAACCTGAAACTTGTAAGAACAGCTCAAGCTGCATGGCCTCGATGGCTGCACCTATATCAATCAATTTGCAACTGTTATCATCATTTTTCAAACCACAACCGTATTTACCAGATGAGGAAGTATCTTCACTATCATGGGCATTATTGACATACTCCCATAGATAGATGTGAAGACGCTTTGCCTGAGCCAATTTTGGCATCACAGACCTAATCCAATGACTTTTTTTGGCTAGTGCATCTTGGACATCCATTTCTACTCTTTGTTGTCCTCTGCCCATATCATACACTACTGGAAGTGCATTCCCCTTCTCAAACTGAGAAAAGCTTTCTCTACGCACTTTCCTTTCAAAGGACCTAATTCTATCATAAATTTTAACCAACATTGCAGGAGATAACTCATAAATGGATGGATGCAGGACCACGACCTTTTTACGGTTCTCGCAAAAGTTTGTGACAGCAGGGAAGAAGACATCAAGGCATTTACAGTGCCCTTTTTGTTGAAGCTTATTCAAACTGCGTTCTAAGGTCTTTTTGTCCATTGATGTGTGCCTGTCCTTCTCAAGATTCTCAAGTCGTCTTTGTAACTCAGGTTTTATAAGGAACTTCTCCTCCTGCTCAAAGAGTAATAGCTTGAGTTGGTTCATCTAAACTGAAATGTATAGACTTATATTCAATGCAGAAGCAAAAAAGTAGTTGAGATGCCAAATACAACATTTTAAGTATCCACTGCTCCCTCTGTTCCCTTGCCCAGTCTTCTCGCAATTTATGACTGGGATATGCTTTGTACGCTTGGCATCTAGGGGATATTGTTTCAGTTACCGAAGATTTTACAGGTACAAGGTCACGTACAGAAGAATCCATTATCGGCATTTTTGTGTCATTAACTGTGTTGCTCACATCTATGGGAGAATTCTGTCCGTTGCTCATTCTATTGTTGCCCCAATCCTGGACCTCCACGATAGAGAAAAACAAAAAGGTGAAAAGTGTACAATGCCGAGTTGAGTACAGAATATAAATCTGAGAATGTGCATCAATGGAATAAAGCATTTGGTTCCCACTGCCAGATAATACTTGAGGTAACAAACCAACAACCTAGAAACTACAAGACCACTGAACCCCCCAAGTAGCCACAAACAACATGGTACTGCAAACATGAAACATAGTAGTTTCCCTACTGCAACCAGAATACAATGCCCAAACGGATAGAAATTAAACGGAAACTATTGACTAATTAATCTTATCGCAGACCTAAAATAAATAACTAAAAGTATTCCCTGCTTGAGATAAGGTGGACAAACAATTCAAAAGGAAAGAAATAAAATTGGGTTACACCATGTTTTATGTATATAATGCATTTTAGTGCAATCTCAATGTCAAACGATAAATTTTCAATGATTTCATGTTTATGAACTATCTAGTTGCAGATAGCACATGTTTACGAACGTTTTGAAAGCTTTATATGATGACAAATATGGATTTCATGATATTGATACGTGAAATGTTTTTGGAGTAACCATGACAACTGAGAGGGTATTCGGACTTACGGGTTCGATGCCTAGAAAAGGTACATGCCGGTATGGGATCATAGTTAGTGCCATTTTTAAATGGTGGTTATGTTGCACCACACGAAAGTAAGCGGAAATGTTTGCCAGCATACCTACGGTGAGAAGGCATATGTCAATCAGGAGGATGATCGGACGTCATAACTAGTTTCTAGTGAAAGCTCCCTAAAGTTATAAATACTTATGTTCATGGACTACGAGCACCCTTTGATTTCAAAAATAATTTCGAATGACTTAGCATGTGTTTATAATATTGGGATAACATTTATTTGCTTGAGAAATATGATTGTGATATTGAAGTGCATGTTTTTTGAATACTTGTCCCACATTTTAAAGGGTGATCAATAAGACTTGGGGGTATTTTTATACTCACCCCCTTACATGTGTGGTACAGGTTTGGGTATTGCAATGGAGTCCAGTCCATGAATTGAGCACCATTACTTAGAGCTTCAGTGGTGAGCCCCAAATTTGATCAGTGGCGGCTTAGTTCATTCCAATTGTTATTAATTATTTGGGGAACCATGTCCCACTTCTTTTTTGAAATAAGATTCTTTAGACGCTCTGTGACTCATTGTGGCTAGATGTATATGTACCCGGCATTGTATTTGGATATGCCTCTCGAGGATTAATTCAGATATGTGATATATTCGAGCCTTTCTTTGGGATGCTAAGCCTTATATTTAGTTGATACGATGGGCAGAAGGATTAGCTCAGTGAGTGCCAGGCTCGTCAGGCACCAACCATTGCCCCTTAGTTTGGGTTGTGCTAACAACAAAATTAAAGGCAAAAGTCTTCCTACTATGGTTAAGCTGTAGATCCTTCTAGAATAAATCTCACTAACTAGAGACGCTCATTTGCCCATATAGATACCATCCACGACTTCCACTTACAAATAAAGCTTCAAGTACTACTGACTTGATTGTCAAACACCCTGTTACGTCACTGCCAGTGGCCACAGTCATTAGGCTTCTAAAAAAGAAAAGAATCAATTATGGATGCTTGCCTAACCTCTATGAAAGCGTAGAAAATCTAAATGAAACCTATGTTCAGTCGAACAAAGACAAGGATATCCTTTTAAAACCCAAATCTTCAGTTGGGAATATCTCTTCAGTTCCTTTTCTATTGCGTAATGACATTGCGACACCTGAGAGGAGTTTCTATTGTTGTTCCTACAATAGTGGCCACTTTACTGTTTCTGATGACCCTAGTGCTCTATGTCCTACTTGTCAGTATAGCATGTCGAAGAAGTTGACGTATGTTGCTCCACCCACGGTGAAGGGAGGTGTGGCAGCAACAGGGGGTTTCGTAAAGGAGGTTGTGACATACATGGTGATGGACGACTTGGTAGTTAAGCCTATGTCCACCATTTCTAGTATTACCCTTCTCAACAAGTTTAATGTCAAGGATTTTGGTGTGCTGCAGGAGCAAGTAGTAAGTGTTGGAATGGAAGAGGCATTGATGCTGCTGAAAGTATCTTTCGAGTCGAAATCAGTTCTGACAAGTGTTTTCATGAGCTCTATTCAGGCGGAGAAATAGTCGTTTAAGACAATGGAATTGGATGTTTCAGTTTCGTAAATTGCAACTTTAGTGGCACTTTTGTTTAGTTTGAGAAACTTTATATTCTCAAAATATCAAAAATATCAATCCGGTAGGGAATCAAGTTGCGGATATATAGCAATGCATGCGACTTGAAGAAGTTGAATGATTTTTTGCTCTTCAGAATCCCTTCCGCTGTATTCTCGGTTAGATAAATTTCCCTCTATGTAATACTTTAGGAACTACGTATGTAAGTTTTGGTTATGTAAATATAAGTATCTCTTTAAGCAAAAAAAAAAAAAAAAAAAAAAAAGAAAAAAACACCCTGTTACTGCTTCTTTGGCATGGAATTGTTCTATAAGCCCTCTACTACATTTCAGGGCACTAAGGGGTAGCATCCCTTCTATGCACTACACACCCTTCACCTATACATCTTATTTGATAGCCTATACTAGTTCACCTACCATTATCAACCATTTTGCTCCTTACACCTAGAAACTATGTGCTTCCTACTAGTAGAAGATATGCTCTTGAAAAGAGTTTCACTCTTTATCTTTCGTTAATTGGATTTGATCTTTATCACCTTATGGAACGAAGAATAAGGCACAAAAATACTCTAACCAAAAATAGTTTTCAGCACCAACTTGATCCAACCAAAGTGTCTCCTCTTTGATGCAATTTATAACTCTATAAGGCATGAACCTAGGGAAATCCATGAAAACTCTGCTTACAGATGTCTTTAACATGTAAAAACTACACCAGAGAAATCTATACTATACCAATGCACGATCAAACAAAGAGTGAAGTTTATACAAATGCATAACTTGCCTCAAAGTAATAGTAAGAAATAATTTGTTCTTGACTCTCTTATGTTTGTAGGTGAAAGACTGGTAACAGCGGAAAAGTTGGACATGACCTTATTCATCGAGATAAAATGCAGAGGCAGAAATCAAGCAGTGGCATACGGAACTGTGAGATAGTGTACATCATGCAAGAATTTGTAGTTTAATTCAACACTCTTTTGAAATGTACTGGGTGGAAAGGACAACTAGTATTCTCGTACCATTTCATACTTTAAAGGATATTAAATTGGAGTCTGACAAGAAGGTAGAAGATAAATTTCACAAAGCATAATTCAACTTATGAGGATTGGGATATTCAAATTTCAAACTAAAGGTGTAGCAGTTGTCATGTTTCTAGAGGGTTTGAAGTCAGCTAGGCATCTATGCCCTTGAGGTCTGATCTTAGCAGTTATCCTCTGACTGGCTTTATTAAGCAGGAATACCTCTATTTAAGCAGACTTTAACTAAGGAGAAGAGAAGTGCTGCAATTTTCATGTTTTCAGACTCTCTGTTATTATTTTTAAATCCTTCCTACGCTAGGGGGGCGGAAGGAGGTTCTTGGCCGAAAAATTACACTGTATATATAAGGCAAAATTTGGTTTTTACCTCTATATATTAAGTTTTGAACCACCTTAACACAACTCAAAAGTGTAGTTTAGTGGTCAAGGGGGTTCAAAAACTTCATAAGGTCATAGATTCAATTCCCACTAGCTACAAAAAAAAAAATTTTTTTAACCCCCTTCTTGGAGATCATGCCTCCGCCACTGCTACACTTCTCCTCTTAAATAAGGAGGGCATAAAACAGCTGGATGGCATATAAAGCACAGCAAAAACTCATAACTCACTGTTACTTCTTAAGACCATATCTGAACTGTTACACTAGAAATTCCATGAAAAGCGGTAGATGGTAATATCAATAGAAGGAACTTTACATACTTCAAAAGTCTGATGCTCGACGGGAAGCTCCACAAGCTGTTGGCCAATCTGACCTCTCTTTTCTATTTTAAACGGAGGTTGTTTTCGGCCAAGGTCATCTGATCGACGTACGCGAGTATTAAAGTGTATTGGTGAAAATTCCTTTAAAAGACGCAAAGACTTGCCTTTCTGTGAACAGTGAATAAATTATATTAATAAAGTCCACATGTAGATCATTATTTTTAAGATTGCAAAATGAAAAAAGTACTGACTGAAGATGAAAGAGAATATTTTTGGTCTTCTGAGTATAGGATAAGTGCCATTTTAATCACCTTGCTGACATCAATAATGTAAAATCCCCGAAGGCCCGAACTACTAACTTGACAACACTTTAACCATAGTTTATTTTAACAAAATGGGAGGGTTGGGTCAATTTTGAGTGGGTTAAAACGGGTAAGTCATGATTCAACTCGCCCAACATTTACTTGAATCATGATGCATTGGCCAAAATAAATTAACTAACGGGTCATAACCCAACCCATCCAACATGATCCAGATTAACAAAAACTATGTAAATACAGTAAGCACTTTGATGGAGATTCAAAAGGTTAAAAAGAACTACCAGCGATTTTTGGTTTATATGACAAACCACAGATTTTCCTGAATCTCACATGCTTTAACAAACAAACAACATCACAACAGAAGTGTTTAAAAGCTTTGAAATTCCATTGATGTAACATGAGAAAATATCAAGGTTCTATAACAGAAACAATTTAAGGTTGATTGAACTGTTTAGTGGATTTCAGCAGCAGATTTATGTGTTCCATATTAGTATATTGTAACTCTGAAATAAATGAGAGCAAGCAGCAAAGACTTCTGTTTATCTTGCTTGATATCCTTTAACACCATCATTCAAATCAGCTTCATATATACTAGCATTTGGGATATGGATAGATCGTATCTTCTAATATTTCTTTCTATTCTAGTCCATTTCCCATGTTTTATGCCTATTTCATTTAGACAGCTATTCTGAATCAAATGCTATAAACTGCAATGTGAGGACAATCAATGTTTGTAAAGCAAAACGTTGGAAGTGAACTACAATTTAGGTCAATATGACTGTTTCACTTACTTCAGTTACCTCCACGGCCTAAGCTTGTGTCAACCTACGTAAGATCTGTCAGGAAACCGTATCAGACAAACAGTACAACTTATATAGTGCTTCTTTTGGAATTCAATTTACTACCTCCAAGATAATAAACACTTACATTTTTTCTCCATTCTTTATGTCCAAGAGCATCTCGATAACCTAGGTCCTGTTTAATATTTGAGATAGCAAGAACCTGGAAAGGTGAAACAGGTTATAAGAAGGTTAGTATCATGTTGTTCACAAAATTGAGATACCCACAATAATTCAAGAGTATGACAGACCTTCCCCTTAGCCTTTTCAAGTTTATTACAAATATCTCTCAGTATGGGCAGATAATCTTTTATATGCACAACCCCTCTTCACATCACAACTAGCAGAATTTTCATGAGATAAATCATCAGCCATCAGAACTCCACCTCTTATTTCAAGCCTTTGTTGACTGTGCAAGTGCTTCCTGTAGCGGCTTAAATAGAGCATGTTGGTTGTAGTATGCTTACTTATAAGTTTCCCTTTGTTGGATGCTTCATTTGTCCAAATAATTGCTTCATGCCTCACAATCAGTCCTAGAACCTCAAGCTCCTTAAATATGTGGAAGAAGTTATTGGCCTTGATGCCAAATTCTTTAGTAATTTCACACTGGGTAATTCCATTTGCTCTGTCAATGCACCATGAACCATGGTTAGCACATTATGAGAGGAAGCAGTGTCTTGATACTTGCTTTAAAGAGATAAAGAAGTCTCTTCAACTACATATGCCAAGTAGGAGCGCAAACACGTGGGTGTTTGGGGGTCAAAGAAAACAAATTAAAAAGAATAAAAGCTTTTGAACATTTGCTTCTCTTCTGCTCACAATTAGCATGACGGCATAGTAAGTCCAAGGTTCAAATCCTGACAGAGGCAAAAAAGCTAGGTACTCTCTTCTTATTTTTTAACCTTTGAAAAAGTAGGTTACCTGGTGGAAGAATGCAATAGAATAGCTGAGGTGAGGCACAAATTGGCCTGAATAACACCATTTTAGAAATAGGAGGTGTCATTAACATTGCAGATAATTAAATTTCATAACTTCAATGAAAACACAGCAAAAATCTCAATCAGGATGTAGATAAATTGGCAATCAGAGAAAAACGCTTCTTTCAGAATTAGAGAGTAATTTCTATGGAGCAGTGACATATATAATAATAGTTACAAATGTATATATATCAAAAAGACCAAATTTCACTCAACTCATTAACTCTAAATTCTGGCGGATTTGTCTCAATTTTGGTGGAAGAGATGGAGGAGATGAACCAACCTTGCAATTGCGATGCGTTGGAGGACTCTTTTACGGAGATGAAGAGCTTCTAACTCTTGTTTACATAGCTTAGACTTGGAAACCTCAACCTCATGAATCCTAGTAAAATTATCAACCATATGCTCCGGTACGACGATCTTCAATTCCATTCTCTCGCATTCTTCCACACTATATGACTTAACCAAATCATTATCATCACAAGTGTACCTACTGCCTTCTCGCGATTCGAATTCGAGACCCCGAATGTTAATAAGGTTAGACAAAAATTGCTTTTTTTACATTATTACAGAGTACAAGGCCGTTTTTTGAAAGGATGGGATTTAGTTTGGGCCAGAGATCGCTGATAAGAACTGAACTACTGCCTTTGCAACCTTGTATGCAGAGTTCTTCCACTGCTTTGTTCACTATTGCGTCCATATATTTGTGAAAAACAAGTTTAAATAGAATTATTTCGGAACTCACCCTATAAAAAAAAAGACAGCCGAGTACACTAAGCTCCCGCTACGAGCTAGGTCCGGAGAAGTGCCGGACTATAAGGTCTATCGTACCATATTTCTGCCTTGTTTCCACGACTCGAACCCGTGTCTCAATATAAAAATCTAAATTCTAGATCTGTTACAACATCATATCCGTGTGAGAATCATATGTTAGAAAGAGTATAATTTTGAGTTCTCTGAAGTTTGTGGTGACCGACGGCAAGAGAAGAGGCAATCGTGAAACCCTAAATTAAATTAGGAGTTTGGATTCCTATGGAGCCGAGAATGGGAAAAGAAAACAGAGAGCAAAGAGTTGTGGACTGAGGAGGAGGAAGAGAGGAAGGGAATGAATTTGGTAAGAATCAAAACGGGTATTTATACGTTTCTATAAAAGGAAATCTACTAACATAATGTAGTACAGTAATATATTACTCCATTAAGATTATTTTATGCGAAATTTTAGGGGAAAGGGAATCCTATTTAATTTTTTAATTTTTTTGGTAAGTAAAGTATATTATTTACCCAGAGAAATAATTACAAGTATCATGAGACCCTTTGTTGGATAGATGGCCCCAACTTGATTCTGGACCAACTGTGACGCGTCTATGACGTGAAAATAGTATGATCTAACCAGTTTTTGGATTGGTCATTTAAAAATAGCCAGCATTTATCAATTCAATGAAAAATAATCACTATTTTGCTGCAACAGAGACCGGTCCAGCATAATATACTGGAGTTCAGTGCACCTGTGTATGAACTTCCAGCATATTATGCTGGAACTCCAACACACGGAAAGTTCCAGCATAATATACTGGAGATTCGAGCACTTGTGTATGAACTTCCAGCATATTATACTGGACCGGTATACTTTGCTGGAACTCCAGTATATTATGTTGGAGTTCTAGTGTACTTATGCTGGAACTCCATCATTCCAGCATACTTATCCTGGAACTCCAGTATAATATGTTGAAGTTCAAGTATACTTATGCTGGAACTCCAGAATAATATGCTGGCGTATTTTCCGGGTTTTGAACAGTGTTTTCGCTCAGATTTATTTTTACATGAAAAGTGGCTAAATTTCGATTACTTTTGAAACTGGGCTATTTTTGAACGACCACTTGTAAATCTGGCTATTTTTGAATTTCTCCCGTCTATAACTATTGTCACTCGCCTCTTTTCAGGCATGCGGGAATCCTATTTTATATTGGTATTATTTATAATGCAAAGTCAAAGATTTTTTTATAGTCCCTTTTTTTTCTTTACTTCTTTGTCTTTTGTAAAAGATAAAGTGTCACTCATTGGTGGTGGAAAGTCTTTTCTTTCTCTTTATATTGAATTTCTCTTTGTTGAGCTTGTAAAGAGCTAGAAAAAGGGAGTGGTCTCGCGCACATGAGAAATTGGTCCTGAAGGCATAACGGGTCGGTCGATCCCCCCGTGCGAGATATACGTGAGGCCTATTCCAGATTTGGTTTTGCTAAAACTATTTCTTCATTTTTGAGCTTACCAGAATATGTCCAAATTCATTCTCTTTGAATTGTTTTATTTCTTCTACAGATTAATTCCTTCATCTGTCTTCATCTTCTGTTTTGTGCAAATTCTAAACTTCCAGCCACGATTGCACGAGTTTGGAGGTGCTGTGGAACCTTGGGGAGCGACCAGTCCTAACGATTTGCACCCAGTCGGGCAGAAATCGCTTTCAAGGCAGTGGTACCCAGTCGGGCCGAAATCGCTTTCAAAGCAGTGGCTTGCCACGAGACAATATTTTTGATAAGTTGTTCTTCTTTCCTTCTTGTTCTTAGTCAATATTATCTACTCATTTTTGTTACATTTTATACTTGCAATATCGTTTGTAATTTACCGATTATTTGCAAATGTCCCATATGTTAATTGATACAAATTTTTAGGCATAATATTCTAAAAATAAATGTTTGATTTCGACAAAATCACAATTAGGTTTCATTCTTTTTATTCTTAAGGAATTTCTTCCAAACAGATGTTTGCCAAGTTAATTAAACAAAAGAGTATTATAAACGGCACATTCACAACATTTTTTAAGTTGACAGTAAATATGTTAAAGAATTATTGCAAAATATTTAAAAAGGTAAGTATAATATTATTAACCACAAGAAGAAGTGGCTGAGGCAAAATTTTCACCAAAGAAATTCAAAATAAGAAAGAAGTAAACAACTCGTCGTACTCCGCCGTTGAATGCTTTTTAAAACTTCTTGTGCTTTTTTTTCTCCCTTTGCAATGTTCTCTTTTATTTTTAACTTTTGTTGTTTTTTTTTCAAACTAGTGCCCCTTCAATCATATATTAGCTTGGAAAAATTGCCGAGGTTCTTAAAAAAGAGTGTGAGGATTGAATTTCTATAAATATGTAAATATAAAATATACATATTCAGTATATTTTATTTTAAAGCATTCAATTTAAATTTTATGTTTTACTATTGTAATTTATAGATAATAAATTATAATAGCATAAAATACAAATACAGTTTAAAACAATAGTCTTCACTTATTACAGAAATAACCTATTAAGCTGAAGTGAAAGCAAATTTCAACAAAACAACGATTACTAGAATAACAAATAAAACGTCAAAACTTTATACTACCAATTCTCCCAACTTCTAAACTTTCACTAACAATAAATGACAAAATTACATAATAATGCACTCCATAAGTCGGCCTTGTATTATTTTAGTCCACTTACAAGTTTGCAAATGTGTAGCCAAATATCAATAAGCTTAGATCTGAATTTTTTTTCAGTTTTTTTATGCTCTATATGTTCAAGCGTGAAACATTTCCATTCTCCTTTTTCCTCAAGTTTCTACACACCTATCACAACTACGAAAATTAAAAAACAGACGCGAGAAATCTAAAATCTCATCTTCTTTAATGCTAATCTTGTTAGATTTTGAATATGATTTTGTGAGAAATTTGGAGTGGGTATTGTTTGAACTTATTATAGTTAGTCTAAGTAGATTGTATACAAAGTTTGAAGTCATTTACTGGAGATTTGGAATAGTTTTAATCAAGAATTGCAAGTGAAAATCGACAAAAAGTTTGTCAAGATGCTTATACATTTTTATACAATATTATATATTTTTATACAAAGAGGTATATTATATATATAGTTGTATAAAAATGTATAAAGATGTATAAGCACAGTAGTGAAAATTTTAGTGATACACCATGTATATAGGTGTAGTAGTTGAAGAAGAAGAAGAAGAAGAAATGTGATCTTCC